CTCTTCGCCCCTGCCATCGATGATGCGCCGCTGCCGCTCCAGCTGCTTGTCGATCGAGTCGATGATGGCTTGCACGCGCGTCTTGCCATCTTTGCGGTACTGCCCGCGATCCTCTGCCAGGCGTTGGATTTCTTCCTCCAGACGCCTTTCAACATCCTCGAAGGTAGTATCGAGGCTGTATCTGCGGCCGACGTTGCCCTTGATCAGCGCCCACACGAGCTCGATTGGGTTGAGGTCGCTGTAGCACGGAGGGGAGAAGAGCACCTTGTGGCCTTGCGCCTCGGCCAGCTGCACCACCTCTGGTTGGACGTGGTTCTTCACCCACAACTTCAGGCGGTCTTTCAGCTCGCAGGAGAAGTCAGTCTCGCTCACGGTCAGGTTCCTGGCTCGCAGAGCTGCAATGACGTCCGCTTTCTTCATTCTCCCCGGGACTGGCGTGTCTGGTGGGAGGGTGCGGTGGTACGCTGCGTTGTCCATGATGATGAGCGACGGCTGGTGCAGGTTCGGCAGCAACGCATCCTTGAACCAGCTGATGAAGTTGTCAGAATTAAAGGCTTTATGATAGTCCCCTGTATGGAAGCTCCCACGAGAAGGCTTCCGGGGACGGCCCTGCTGTTGCTGTGGTTGCTCAGGGAGGTCTTCGTCAGCGACGGGGCACTTCTTCCGCGTGTGCCCTGGCTGCTTGCACCGGCTGCACTTGCGCGCTGATGACTGCGATGCTTGTGGCTGCTCCTCATCGCCTGCACCGTCAGTCTGAGGAATTCGCAGGGGGATTGGAGGCAGACACGCCGATGGTGGTGATGGTGATGATGGTGGCGGCGGTGGCGGTTGAAGTGACGATGATGGTTGCGGAGGAGGAGGTGGTGGTGCTTGCTGCTGCTGCTGCTGTTGCTGCTGTTGCTGTTGTTGTTGTTGTTGTTGTTGTTGTTGCTGCTGCTGCTGCTGCTGCTGCTGTTGTTGTTGTTGTTGTTGTTGTTGTTGTTGTTGTTGTTGTTGTTGTTGTTGTTGTTGTTGTTGTTGTTGTTGTTGTTGTTGTTGTTGTTGTTGTTGTTGTTGTTGTTGTTGTTGTTGTTGTTGTTGTTGTTGTTGTTGTTGTTGTTGTTGTTGTTGTTGTTGTTGTTGTTGTTGTTGTTGTTGTTGTTGTTGTTGTCGTTGTTGTTGTCGTTGTTGTTGTCGATATTGTCGCCGCTCCACGCTGCAGTGCGCTGCCAGGGTCGAAGGATCCAGCTCGTGCCTGGAACAGGACCGGCGAAGGGCGCGGTCGTTGCGGTCACTGACGGTGCACACGCGCGGATCCCGGGCCCTGAACTGCGAGGGCAAAGCAGTAGCGCCGACCCCGCTTGATCTTGCGATGACTGTGCATGTCTTGACCGTCGTTGGGGTCATACAGGGAGTCTCTGTTGCTGTTGTAGTTCCTGTCAATGTATGATTCATCGAGATACACCTACAGGCAATTGAGCCACGTGAGACACGAAAAGGGAACATTGCACATGCGAAGAAACATCGACAACACAGCAGCATGGGCACATGTGCACACACACACACACACACACACACACACACACACCTCTCTGAGGCGCTCGTCAGGTGGCAACCTCCTGTTTGCATCAAACTCCTTCAGATACTTTGCGAGCAGCTGCTTGTGCCTCGGGTTCTCTTGAACAACGTGCTTGTTGCCGCGAAGGTAGCCCGCACGACGAAGAAACCGCTGCACCGCCCGCAGAGCCGCCGCCCTGTCCAGTTCGTCGTCACCATCGCCAGCAAACGAAGGTCGTACGTCCACATGCCTGTGCTTGCGTAGGAAGTCAAGCACCTGTACGGCCGTGATGCGGTGTCCGCCTTCTCTCTGCATGCGCACGTGAGCGCGAACCTGCCTGAGCACACGTTTTGTCGTGGGCACACGTGTCGGCAGCCGTGTCGCCTTGCCACGGCGGTTCTCAACAGAAAGCGTCTTAAGGCCCTGCAGACACGAAGCACATGGAATATGAGCCAACATGAACAGATCTAAGACAAACAGCACGCTGGTGTATGAGTTGACCACAGCAGGTACATCTCCTCAACTCACATCTATGCCGTGCTCTCGCAACAGCTTGTTGAGCATTGCATACTTCCGACGCACGGTGCTGAGGCCAACCCTGTGTTGTTCCAGACCGAGGTAAAAGAGTGAAGTGAGGTCGGCCATGCGAATGAATCATGTCACAGTTGACACATGCAGACACGTCAGCTTGCACACTAACAAAAGAGTGTCAACATACCCCAACTGCTGAGCAGCATGTTCATCGACCTGGCCATTCGGCTTCGAGCGCTTGCCCTTGGACTTCCTCCGGTTCTCCAAGTGTGCCAATTTCAACTGCATGTACACATGCAAAACCAGAAGCGTTTCCCTTTCTCTGTCAGGGTTCCCTGACCCCTCATGTCCCTCAGGCACGCACATATCTCCATGATCTCCTGAGGAGTCAGGTGCTTCTTGGTTACCGGCTTGGGCATGTCTTGTCGTGCCCGCTTTGGTGAGTTGGTGGCAGCTCGCCTTCATCCTTTCATCGTCATCGCTTACCACCTCGAAATTAGAGGCACAAAAACATCATCGCCCATCGTGGATGATGGTGGTTGAAATTTCCTCTATTTTGCCGACGATTTGCACGAAAGATGCAACTTGACAGCGGTTGCTTGGGGCGTGTGCGTCACCCTTGCACCCCAAACCAGCGCAGATGCATGTGCAAGGCCGGCGTGGTGCTGCCGGGCAGCCTGCACACGACTCAAATCCAACCACAAACGAGAAAAATAAAACCCTACCATTTCGTGTGTCGGGCGCGATGATGTGTACGATTGATTGAACAACGGGCAACGAAAGTCGAGAAGGAACAACACACACACACTCACACACACACACACACACACACACACACACTGCACACACACACTGCACACACACACACACGCGCGTGCGCGCGCACTGCACACACACGTTTTCGAATCCTTGGCGGATGGAAGGACAGCCAGCAGATTTTCCTGTGTTTGGCAAAAGCAGAACCAAAACAACCTTCTTCTTTCATTCCTTTCCTTCCACAGTTCCACCCCCTCCTCCTCCTCCTGGGCCCTTGGGCCGGCAGGGCCGGTTTGGTGGTTCGCTGCACAAGGCAAGGCTGCAAGGTATCGTCTCGTCCTGTCGCTTCAACGAGTCAACGAGAACGCAAGAATAACACACCTCTCTAGACCTCTTCTGCCTTTCTGCGTCTTCTCTTCATATCTTCTCCCTTCGTCGCCGCCGCCGCGTCTGAGCATCTCAAAGCGTTTCTTTCGCCAAAGAACAATGGCCAACGATGACAGTGAGCTCCGTCTGACGGACGGCGTGTCTGTGGAGGCGATCAAGGCCTTCCTCGCAGATTTGAAGAGCGAGTTCCCAGACACGTACACTGACATGACAACGGAGGATGCTTGCAAGCAGCTCGTGGTCCCACGCACCCAGCAGGACAACTGCGCCTACGTCGATCTCTTGCGCAAGCAGTCATCGCATGAACATGTGGGCAAGGCCACTGTGTTTGTGTCGCACGCATGGCGGTACAAGATCGCAGAAGTGCTCAACGTCTTGCTTGAGTTTGCGGAGGAACAAAGAGTAAGGAAGGAAGACAGCCAGCCCGTGTTCTTCTGGTTTGACCTCTTCATGAACAACCAAAACGCCAACGTCACCGCCAACCTCCCACAAGAGTGGTGCGTTGTGTGTGTGTGTGTGTGTGTGTGTGTGTGTGTGTGTGTGTGTGTGTGAAACTGTGTGTGTGTGCCTGCGTGCTATACCTCCCCGTTTCTTGCACACCCCCACCCCCTTACACGCTGCCCCCCTCCCTTCCACCCCAATTCCCTCCCCCTCCCCACAACAGGTGGAGCACGACGTTCAAGGAGTCGATTGCCAACATTGGGCGCGTGCTGCTGGTGTTGATGCCGTGGCGCGACCCCGTGCCACTGACGCGGGCGTGGTGCCTGTGGGAGATCTTCTGCGGCATCAGCAACGAGGGCACCGAGGTCAACATCCGCCTGCCCAACAGCGAGGAGAAGGCGCTGGAAGAGGCCATCCAAGGCGAGTATGAAGCCGTGACCGATACGCTGGTGCGCGTGCAAGCACAGCGCGCAGAAGCATTCAACCCACGTGACAAGGACATGATCTTTGAGGCCATCCAGGAAGGCGTGGGCTTTGCGGCTCTCAACCAGGCCGTGAAGGACCAGCTGCGCGCGTGGTGCTTGGAGAAGGCGGTGGCTGCAGTTGAGGTCATGCAGGCACGTGGAGAGGACAAGACAGAGGCGTTTGCGCGGGTGTGCCACCAAGTGGGGCTCGTCCTGAGTGAATTTGGCGGGCACGATCGCGCCATCGCCTCCTACAATGCAGCCCTGTCGATTTTGCTGCGCACTGAAGGGGAGGAAGGAAAGAATGTGGCCGGATTGTACAACAACCTCGGCACCGCCTACGACGGCAAGGGCGACTACGACAAAGCCATCCAGTGTTACGAGAAGGCTCTCGCCATCAGGGTGGAGATGCTGGGCGAAGAGCACTCGAGTACAGCCGACACGTACAACAACCTCGGCAACGCCTACCACAGCAAGGGCGAGTACGACAGGGCGATTGAGTTTTTTGAGAAGGCCCTCGTCATCAGGATGGAGGTGCTGGGCGAGAAGCACCTGAGCACGGCCGATTCGTACCTGGGCCTCGGCAACGCCTACTACAACAAGGGCAAGTACGACAGGGCCATCCGGTTTTATGAGAACGCCCTTGCCATGAAGGTGGAGGCTCTGGGCGAGAAGCACCCAAGCACGGCGGGCGCCTACGGTAATCTTGGCAACGCCTACGCCAGCAAGGGTGAGTATGACAGGGCCATCCAGGTTTACACGAAGGGCCTCGCCGTCACGGTGGAGGCGCTGGGCGAGAAGCACCCGAGCTCAGCAGCCACATACAACAACCTCGGCAACGCACATGACAGCAAGGGCGACTACGACAGGGCAGTTGAGTGTTACGAGAAAGCCCTCGCCATCAGGGTGGAGGCGCTGGGCCAGAAGCATCCGAGCACTGCGGAGACGTACAACAACCTCGGCATCGCCTACCAGAACAAGGGCCAGTACGACAAGGCCATCCAACATTACGAGAAGGGCCTTGCCATCTTCGTTGAGACGCTGGGGAACAAGCACCCGAATACGGCTACGTCGTACTTAAACATTGGCCTGCTGCACGACAAGCGCGGCGACAAGGAGCAGGCCTGCGCCTATGTCCAAAAGGGACTGGACGGTTTGACAACCACGCTCGGGCCAGGCCACCCCAACACCCGCAAAGCGGAGCGCGAACTGGGGCGCATTCGCGGTGGTGCTGTGAACGGGCAGCATGCATCCACGCAACACGTGCCGGCCTCTCAACTTCAGCAGCGAACCGTGCTTGCACATCGCAACCTTCTGCTTCGGTTCATCTCGTCTGCTGTTGTGTACCAGTCGACTGCTCCACAACGCAGCCTGCTCATGCGATTCCTGGGCGCACTTGCACATGCCCACTTTGACGCAAGTCGCCCAGACAGTCAGGAGAAGCAGCCAGAACGTTCTCCTGTTTCCTCTTCTCGGGCAAATGAATCTGGTGGCTGCTGCAGTGTCCTCTAAGGGATGTTTACGCATGTGTGCATGTATGGACGACGATGGTGGTTGCCGACTGTGTTTGTGAGTGCGCGTTGGCCTTGTGTCTTTGCTTCTTCCTCCCACAATATTCTTCGTACTTGCCTACACGCAGTGTTTTATTGTAGCCTTGTGCTTGCTCTGTTGCGCTCCTTTTCTTGTTGCCTAGCTAGTTGTAGATCCCTCTCTGCGTTGTGCGTTTGTCGTCCATTCTTCCTGAATACAGCGTCATGCGAACGTGCAGTGCGTCACGAACACACGTGGGGGTGAGGGTACAGAGCAAACACATCAAGCCTTCTAACCTTGTCTGTGTGCCTGACAGCCGGCTGATGATGTCGCGCGTGCTCTCTCTCACTCACTCACTCACACACACACACACGCGCGCGCTCTCTCTCTGTCGCCTCTGCCGCCAACAACCACTCTCAAATCAATGTGTTCATCTGCATCCACCCCCACATCAGCTCTGCCTCTCAAGAAGCAGGAGCGTGTGCGCTGGGACTGTGTTGCAAACATCTCCACTACCACGACCACTAAGCCACTACAACGGGTCGCCTTGCTTAACCTATCGCTGCCAGCACACTCGTTGACACGGAGACGTGATTTGGTCTCGTGAACGCCGCCCCATTCAAGACACCCTCCGTCTTGATGCTAAGCAACCTACGTTGCTTCCGTGGAATGCCTTTGCTTGCCGTGTACATATTCATTTGCTTGCGCGTTGTCATGTAGCCATGACATCACATCAAGACATCAAACACTCGCAACAAATTAAAGCATTCCGCACACTCGCACCACGGAGCAAATTACATATCGCACAACACCAGCAGCATGACACGTCCAGCGCATCGTTACAATGAAAGTCACACAGCAAAAGCTATGCGGTGCTTGTCGACCCGTTCGCAGATGACATCCGCCTGTGTGTGTGTGTGTGTGTGTGTGTGTGTGTGTGTGTGTGTGTGTGTGTGTGTGTGTGTGCATGTGTGCACTTTGTGTGAGCGCCGCAAGCAGAGAAGAGATTGACGAATATCGAGTGGCCGTGTGCCATTCCACCTCAACACGCACCTCCCGCCCACGCAATTGCGAGCCCACCTTTGCGGCTGGCGACGGCGCTGATGATGATGTTGGTGTTGGTGGTGATGTTGGCGGCGGCTGCGGTGGCCTGTGTCGTGTGGTTCAGACTCTGCACGTGCACGTCCTGTCGTGCCCATCGAAACGCTGGTAGACATGCGGCGAGACATCGATCCCACGCGTGCAGGCGCTATGGGCCGCGTGATTGGCGACACTCCAAGCGCCGCTGCAAGAGCAAGAGAGTGCGTGCATGTGCATGTGTGTGTGTGTGTGTTTGTGTGCATTGCATGACAGCAAGTGCGTAAGCGCATGAATGCCCCACACATTCATGTGCGTACCGTATGCTTGCACGCTGACCCAACCGCCCTCACATCGCCACACCTTTGGACGAAGTGGCGGGATGGGTGACAAACTGGCCGCCTGTGTGCTGCTGCTGCTGTTGCTGTTGTTGTTGTTGTTGCTGCGGCCTTTGCTGGGCAGCCTCAAAGGCAACGGAGAGGTTCCACACCTATCGGACACACACCAATGTGTGGGAACGTGTCAGGTGTGTGTCAGGTGTGTCAGGTGTGTACGTGTGTGTCACAATTCAAACAGGCACACACACACACACACACACACACACACACACACACACACACACACACACACACACACACACACACACACCAAGTCACCCCACCTGAATGCAGCCGTTGTCGTGTCCCGTGAAGAGGAGGCGTTTGGTGCGCGAGCCAGCGCGCGCCGCCATGCCGCCCTCATGCACGTGGAAGGTGCTGATGCCCGAATCGTCCGCAGACTCAATGTCACAGAGCGAGTCGCCAGTGGAGGCAGCGGTGAGCATGAGGCACGTCGTGTGCTCGCACGGCTGCTGCACAAAGACTTGCTGCTCATCCACGTTTCCAAACGGACCTGATGGCGGCGAGTGCAAGTGTGTGTGATTGTGCGTGATCGTGTGAGAGAGAGAGAGAGTGTGTGTGTGTGTGTGTGAGGGTGGAAAGACAGAGATTCGACGGCCATAGACGAGGGCATGGCACGTACCACACACACACACACACACACACACACACACACACACACACACACATACGTGCCTATTTCAGAGTGTGCGTGGGATGGGAGGCAGAAGGAGGCCATGGCCTGTGTTCCCGGCTGGGTGGAGATGCGACCACGGAAGCGAGCAATTCGCCACGAACGCACGTGGTTGTTGTGCGAGCACACTGTCGGTGGTGATGGTGATAATGACCGTTGTGGCAAGGGTCGCACGAAGGGACAACGCACAACAAAACACAGCAAGTGAGCGTGTTTAAATGTCGCACGTTATGCGACCATGAGACACCAGCGTATCAAGGTGCTGTCACGCATCGAAGCAAGCCACTGCACCCATTCGTTGCTCATCTTCCTCCCCCCAACACACACACACATACACACGCACATACACACACGCACGCACACACACACACACAGCAGCAGCAGCAGCCCACCTGAGACAAGGCTGTGCTCGTTAAGCTTGACGGCTTTGATTGCGCTCTGGTGCACGCGATATGTTTGATACAGCAGCGGCGCCTGTCCAATATTCTCCGGGTGCTGTTATCGCCACACGTGTGAGGGTGGAAGGAAGGTGTGTGAGAGACAATGAGTGATCACATACATCCATAGGCAAGCTGCATCGAAACACAAGCATACACACACACACAGACACACATACATGTTCACACACTCAGGCACACATGTTCACACACACACACACATACACACACACACACACACACACACACACACACACACACAAAGACACACACACACACACACACACACAAAGACAGACCTGCAGCACGAGTCGAACGCAGCCGGTGTCTGTTCCGTATGCAATCTCCACACAGCGCTCGTTGCCGGAGTTGCTCACAAACATGCTCAGGGCAGTGATGGTGGACATCTCACTGTCCTTGTAGAGCAAGTTGATGAGGAGGTCGTTGTCCTTGAGCCTCAGCGGAAACTTTTGCAGGTCCACGAGATAGATGTGGCCGTGCCTGGAGCCGAGCAGCAGGATGGACCCTGCAGCGGCGAAGGAGGTCACCTGGTCCACGTCCTGTACCTGCCAGAGCAGCGTGCGGGAGTTGCGCACGCCCACTTTGCCGCGCCTGGAGATGGCGACGAGGTTGTTGTTGATGAACAGCACGTCATCCACCGGCACCGTCAAGTCCAGCGTGGCCTCGATGGCGGTGTACACGTCCTCTTCCTCCGACAGCACGGGGTCCGCCGCTGTTGGGCTGGCGGCATCGCGGGCGTTCATCGATCCTTGGTGGCTGAGCCGCCACAGCAGGATGCGCGTGCCCGTGGCGATGGCCACCATGTTCTCGCCGTACCCGCCGCTCTTCACGTTGAGGGCGATCCGGTCAATGCCGCCGTCAATGACCGGGCTGCGCCCGAGAAGTGTCCAGCTGCGCGACTCGCTAAACTTCCAGCAGCACACGGTGGTGCGATATGCAGCTGCAACGAGCGTGTGCGATGAGGCCATGTGCAGGACAGGACCATCGTCGTCGCACTCGGGTGGAATGCGCGAGTCAAACAGCACACCGCCACAGGACACGCCCGGGCTGACGAGCTCCAGGTGCTGCGAGAGCGCGGACACGCCGTAAAAGTCCGCTTCGTGCTTCAGCTCTCGCGCGTCCACCTCACCCGAGCGCACGTACCCGGACCGCAGGAAGTTGAGGATGACGTCAAACAGGCGCGGGTCGCGGTCAATAAACAGGGCGCCCGTCTCGTCCGTGACAGAGGGCAGGCGCCCGCTCAGCAGGCCGGAGAAGAACGACTCCTCCCCTGGCGGCAACAAGGTCGAACGCGTCGTAACGAAGATGACACCCCCCACATTCAGCCGCACAATTTCATTGTTGTAGCTGCAGGTCGATGGTACAACGTACGTCGTTGTTGTTTGCACATGCGGTGGAGACGTGCTACCCACCGTCTGTGGCACTGTTGGTGTTGCCATCGTTGTTGCTGCTGTGGCCGTAGCGGTGGTGGTGGTGGTGATGGTATCAGTCGAAGAAAGACCGTTTGCTGTCATCTCTGTTGCAGCGACTTCAGTCTCGTCACCGTCATCATCATCATCACCATCATCATCACTATCAAGGCCGTCATCTTCTACATGATCGTTGACAGCATTAGCGCCGAGGGGCGTGGCGCTGTCGCTTTCAGCATCATCGTCGTCGCTGTGCGTCGTTGCTGTTCGAAACCGCTGCTGCGCTTCCATGATGCTGTCGTGTGACATGAGGGGGAGGGGGGAAAGTGGAAGGAAGGACAGCAGCCAAAGTCGTCGTTGTCGCCGCAAATATGAAGCGCTGTCACATTTCGTGCTGTTGAGGCCGGTTCCCACAAACCACCGCTCCTCACGTCATCTGCACCACCACATCTGCACCAATCAACTGACCATCATGTCTTTGTCGAAGCGAGGCCATCTGTACATGCAGAGCCCGGAGTGGCTCGAGCCGCTCATGTCGTGCATCGCAGAGGCGTCCCAGCCATGCGACGACAAGTGCGTTCTTTGTGTGTGTGTGTGTGTGTGTGTGTGTGTGTGTGTGTGTGTGTGTGTGTGTGTGTGTGTGTGTGTGTGTGTGTGTGTGTGTGTGTGTGTGTGTGCGTGTTGAAGATGGAGAGGATGTCCTGCCCACAGTACGCTTGGTTCTGGCGTTTCCACGTCTGTCTGTGTCTGTCTGTGTGTGTGTGTGTCTGTGTGTGTGTCTGTGTGTGTGTCTGTGTCTCTGTGTCTGTCTGTCTCTTGAAGGTGAGTGTGTGTGTGTGCATGTGTATATTGTGCACGGACAACAATAACAGACAGTCCACGTCTATCGCCAACCCCAACTCAGCTCAGCTCATCATCATCAACAACACCATCGTCATCATCATCATCAACCATATGTGTGCAGTGGTGCGAGTCGTCCCAGTCGATGAAGCTGGACATGGCCACCGTTGAGGAGTGCTACCAGGAGTGCATTGCCGAGGGCGCAAAGGCTCCCGTCTTCATCTACACCAACCCGCACAACCCGTCCGGTGAGCCGCCTGTCTGTGAACGTGCGCCGTGCGTTTTCGTGTGTGTGTGTGTGTGTGTGTGTGTGTGTGTGTGTGTGTGTGTGTGTGTGTGTGTGTGTGTGTGTGTGTGTGTGGGTGTGTGGGTGTGTGGGTGTGTATGGGTGCGTGCGTGCGTGTACGTTTGTGGTACTTGCGGGCCCTTTTTTTCCGGTTTGTTCTTCGCCCTTTTGTGTTCAGACACGCTCACGCTCACGTATACCCCCGCCTCACCGCCCAGGCACCATCTTCTGTGCAAAGCAGACAGAGGCGCTGGTGTCGTGGTGCCTTGCCAAGCAGGTCCACCTCATCTCCGATGAGATCTACGCCATGTCCATCTTCACCACCGCAAAGGTGGAGTTCACCTCCGTCTTTGACATTGCACACGGCGCAAAACGCCAAGGTACCCGCGCTCCACCTGCGTGGTTGCATGTTTGCGTGCTTGCAGGCGTGCTTGCATGCACGGAATGGTTTCCGGTTGCACTGACCTGCTCCCACCGTTGTGTTGCCCCGTGATCCGGAATTCACTGCACGCCGCGCCCATCTCAACCAATCCCTTTGACAGGCGCTGAGGATCTGATCCACATCATGTGGGGCGGAAGCAAAGACCTTGGCCTCAACGGTTTTAGAATCGGTATGTGTGAGTGCGTGAATGTGCGTGGTTGTGTGTGTATGTGCGTGTGCGTGCGTGTGTGTGCGTGCGTGTGTGTGTGTGTGTATGTGCGTGTGTGTGTGTGTGTGTGCGTGAATGCGCGTGGTTGTGTGTGTGTGTGTGTGTGCGTGTGTGTGCGTGAATGTGTGTGTGTGTGTGTGTGAGTGCGTGAATGTGCGTGGTTGTGTGCGTGGTTGTGTACGTGTGTGTACGTAGTTGTAGCATATGATCCGGCTGTCTGCATGCTTCGTGGGGCTGCTTGCTTGTGTGTGGCGTGATAACATGTGAACCCCATGCCTGTCCACTGAATCGTCCATGGTCTATGTGATTGTCTGCGTCAGGTGTGCTTCTCACTCGCAACCAGGAGCTGAAGAAGTGCCTGCGCGGCCTTGCTTACGGCTTTTCCACCCCTGCAGGTAATCGTCATGTGACGTGTTGCACTGTAGTGTCACACCATCATGTCGCACGTTGGCTTCCCCTCGATGCATGCGCGCTCGAGTGGTTTCTATCTGCGCCCGTGCTCATGTCTATGTTGACTCGTGTACATCTGCATTCGTTTCACTTCCGGACACTTTTACGCACACACACACACACATTCTCTCTCACACACTCACTCACTCCCCCCGCTTGCCCTGTGCAGAGATGCAAGAGATGACGGCTGCTGTCATTGAGGATGAGCACTTCTTCACCAGGTTTCTGGAAGCCAACGCACAGCGCCTCACAGATACCTACTCCAAGGTACCAATGCTCGTGTTGATGCGTCGATTTGGCTGTGCTGCACCAGCAACTGCTCGTGGCTTTCGTCCTGTTTGAGTTGTCATTGTTGTTGTTGTTGTTCTTGTTCTTGTTCTTGTTGTTGTTGTTGTTCTTGTTGTTGTTGTTGTTGTTGTTGTTGTTGTTGTTGTTGTTGTTGTTGTTGTTAGTGTTGTTGTTGCTGTTCTTGTTGTTGTTGTTGCTGTTCTTGTTGTTGTTTGTTGTTCTTGTTCTTGTTCTTGTTCCTCTGCTTCCTCGTCACCTCGTCACACACCATCTTAACGAACAAATGCATGCGTGATGGTCTGTAACCACTGCAGGTGGTTGCCAAGCTGCGCGACCACGGCGTGAAGGACATTGCTGTTGCGGACGGCGCCATGTTTGTCTACTTCAAGATGCCTGGCGAAGAGCTCTCGCTGGTGAGTTGGCGATGCGGGTGGGGAATGGAGAAGGGAAGGTGTCTTGACTGTGGATGCGGCAGCAAAGGCGACGCTTGACGAGCGAGTGATCTTCCATCTCTGTTTCACACACTCAAGCACAACGTAGTGCGCTTGTGTGTGTGTGTGTGTGTGTGTGTGTGTGTGTGTGTGCGTGTGCGTGTGTGTGTGCACCCTCCCCCCCCCCTTGCTCTCTCGCTCTCCCCAATTCTTCATTACTCACGCGTACACTCCCCGCTCAACTCCCCGTCCTCCACTCATGCCCCCACCCCCACCTAACAGGAGGAAGAGCGTTTTCTGTGGCAGCGGCTTGTGCGCGAGAACCGGGTGATGGTGCTGCCTGGTCTGGTGTTTGAGGACGCACGTCGCGGGTGGTTCCGTATCTGCGTGTCGGCCAATCCCCTTGAAGATACGCTGGAGGCTGTGGACCGTATCTTCAAGCATCCGCACCACTGATGAGAGCACGCGCGCCTGGCCGCCCCGCTTTGGATGACGTGCCTTGTTGTTCCCCAAATCGTGACACGTGCGTTTGTGTGCGTGTGTGTGTCTGTGACTGTGTGTGTGTGTGTGTCTTTGTGTGTGTGGCTGTGTGTGTGTGTGTGTGTGTGTGTGTTGGTACTTGATCAACCTGATGGCACATGTCAGCAACATAAACCAACCCAAGAACCAAACCCAAGAACTGCAATGGGGAACTTCGACGGTGTCAAATGACGCCTTTTACTTGTGAGACATGACGCTGTGTTTGGCCAATGGCGAATATCATTGCAGGCTTTCCGCATGTGACATCATCGGAATCCAAACAAATCTCGTGTTTTGCCTTTGTGCATCGGGCCGTGAACCGTTCCCACGTAAGCGAGGACCATGGCATCAAAGCACCGTGTGTGTGGCCCGTGGCTGGCGCTCGTGGTGTGCGCGCAGCTGTTGGCGGTGGCGCAGATGGGGTGTGCTGTGCAGGATGGCGGGGCGTGCGACGCTGCCTCGCTCGTGGCTTCCTTTGGAGCAGTGCCAAGCCATGTCGTGCACAACTGCAACAATGTTGCGCTCGGCGCCACCTGCATTGCCTCGTGCGACGTCTCTGGCTCGTACACCGGCACGCCCCAGACGCTCGTGTGCGGCTCCAACTCCACGTTCCAAGGGTCCCTTCCAACATGTTTTGGTGCGTTTGTTTTGTGTTTGTGCATGTGTTTGTGTTTGTGTGTGTTGTGTTTGTGTTATGTACTGTATGTGCATGTGTTATGTTGGTTTGTGTTGTGTATGTGTTTGTGTTTGTGTTTGTGTTTGTGTTTGCTTGGGTTGTGTATGCGTGCGTATGGCTGCGTAGATCGTCTCTCCCCCACACAACTCACGTGACATTGCACCGTCACCGCCATCACCACCACCTTGTCACTTTCTTGCACAGCACCGTGCAACCCTGCGGAGGATGAGAGCGCTATTGTGAGCCATGGTTGCCGCTCGCTTGTGCCTGTTGGTGACGCGTGCACCTGGGGGTGTGCACGTGGCTACGCTGGCGCAGATGTCACCCGCACCTGCACAGCCCTAAACGCCAACACAACCGCGTTTGATGCACCACCTCCCTCGTGCACACGTGAGTGATTGAGTCATTGACGTGCAGCTCCCACCTGCCCCGCCCCGTCGTTCTCTTTCAGTTTGGCTGTGAGAAGCCAGTGCACCTTACACAGACACATTGTCTGCCCCTTCTTTCCATCGAACATTGTCCAATCCATGTGTCAACTTCCTCGTCACCACCACCATTACCGTCTCACCCTCTGTCACGTCATGCCGTTGTTTTGGTTGTTGCTGTTGTTGTTACTGCTGGGTTGGATAGCTGTGCCTTGCAGCTTGCCTGCGGAAGCCGACCCGCAGGCCATGGATTTGAGCGACTGCTTTGGTGCTGTGCACACCAACAGCTGCGTCATTCCGTGTGCCGTGGGCTACGCTGGCGCCACCGCTGCCCTCACCTGCGACAACGGCCAGTTCATCGGCACCCTTCCCATGTGCACTCGTACGTACACAGATAGTGCTGTTGGCGTGTGTGTGTATATGTGCGTATGTGTACGTGTATGTGTGTGTGTGTGTACAAGTGCAAGTGTACGCGTGTGTGTCTATTTGTGTACACATGTGCATGTGTGTGCATGTGCAAGTGCACGCGTGGTTCTACTTTCCATACACTCACCCACCCAGTCACACACACACACACACGCACACACACACACACACACACTTACTCACACCCCGCCCTTCAGCTAAACAGCCCCAAGCTGGTGACCGAGGGCGGCACACTTCGCGTGGAGGTCTTTGATGACAAGCGCATGGACCTTGCTTACATGACCCAAAACCTCCAACCAAACGCTTGGTGGGTCCACAGCCATGTCACAATGCCACACCACCACCACACACATGCGTGCAATCACGAGAAGACCTGCACGTGCATGTTGCACATGGAGGGGTGCTGAATCCGGTGTTGCCCAACGCGTGAACACCCCCCACTTCCACAATCCTCACCACCTCCCCCACAACTCTCGCCACCACCCTCTCCCTTCACCCCCTTCTCCCCAACCACATGCGCGCAGGTCTGGGCGGATCCTGAGCGACGTTGAGATTGAGGCGTCCATCACCTCCACGCTGTCCACCATCATGGAGGATGGCAGCGCGCGTGTGCGCACAGAGGCGAAGGTGGCGCAGATTGTGGCCGCCAATGTGCTCGACAGCCAGGGCGTTGTGCGCGCAGCTGTCCAAGATGCCATTGACGCAAACGCACCACAGGGTAATGTGAACACGGCACACAGGAGCGTCCACACATATGCATCTGCGTGATAGTTGCGCACGACTTTTGCGTGCATACGTGATATTTGTTTGTGCATGAGCTGGCGTGAATGCCAATGCAGGAATCGTATGAGCTTGGCTTGTCTCCTCGTTGATGTGGTGTTTTCGGTGTGCACACTAGCGCACAGTCAGCTCAACAGTCACCATACGCGCACTCATCATTGTGTCATTTATTTCCTTATGACTTCTGCTTGTGACAATAGGTTCGACTCTGACAGAGTATCTGGGTGAAGAGGTATGTGTCTGTTGTGTTTCTTGTCGTCTGCTCGCAGTGCGCATGTGTTTGACTGGCTGCGCTCGTCCACACCCGTGCAGTCCATCACCATGCGATCACACTCCTCGCTCGCCACGTTCCCCTTGCTTAACCACATGACGCACACACACACGCACACACACACATTCTCTCCCTCTCCCTTCATCATCAACGCTGCAGTTTGATCGTGTGGATGGCCGCATCGACAGCCTTCAAACTTATGTGAGTCCACACACGTGCACAATATGTACACTATGGTTGCTTGCTTCCTCACTACGCATGCTCTGGCAGCAAATGGCATGCTCTCTCTTCTTCAATCCTGTCACTTCATAACATCGCTGAAGCATGCAACGCTCACACCTCCATGGTTGCTTCTCTTCCCCTCCCCCCCCCCACACACACACACACACTCACGCACACACACACACACACACTCATACATATATGCGCGTCAGGTGGACGGGCAAGACGACGGCGTGCTGTCGACGCTGCGGGATGAGCTTGAGAGCACGGTGTCGGCGGCGAGCGATGCGCTCTCTGCTGAACTGGACGGTGTCACCAGCGCCATTGACCGCATGGCACCAGCCATCGCCGCAGCAGAGCGCTGTCTCAAGTTTTGCCCTGCAGGTCGGGGACACTGGAGCTGATACGCATTGCATGTTGCATTGACATGCACGTGTGCTCGTGACATTCATTCATTGTGCCATTGCCTGCAAGCACCGACTCCAGTCACACAAGCAAGTGTTACAGTCACTCACTCCACTCAACCCACTCCCTTTTTTCCCCTTCACTCACTCCACTCACTCCACTCACTCATCCCTGCACTCACTCATCAACCAGTGCCAGCAGTGCCCTGCGTTCACCTACAGCGCAACCCCAAACATGGAGCGTGAATGCCAGGACTGCACACCCACGCATTGCAATGCCGGCTCGTACATGGTGCCCTGCGACCGCACCGTCGGCGACAGCTCGTGCGTCACCTGCCCGAGCGGCAAGTACCAGGACGCATCGCAGCACAGAGGTGCGCTGACAGCCTGCCGTGATTTGCTTGTGGTTTGTCTCACTGTGTTGTGTTGCCGTCACTCTTTTGCTTGGAGGCGACCCCTTGCCATACTGTTTGCGCTGTTTGATGCTGTTGGCGCTGTTGATGCTGCTGGTGCTGCTGGTGCTGGTGCTGCTGATGCTGCTGTACGTGCTACGTTGATGTTGCTGTATGATACTGCAACCATTCGCTGTTGACCGCACTTGTCATCCGAGGTCAGCAAGCGAGCAGATTGCATGTGACAGCACTCATGCCTACACCTGTTGTGTGCTCCTTGCGTGCTGTGTCATCATGGCTGTGAACAGAGTCGTCGTGTAAGACATGTGGCTGTCCAAGTGGGTCGCTCCCCATGTTCGCGACCTGCCCCGGCACCTCCAACTTTGATTGCCTTCCTGACGGAATCAAAGTGGTGAGTAGAAGTGGGAACGGTTGGGTCCTCTTGTCGAAGCAGCCCTCGAAGTTGCCATGTGCTTGTACTTGTCCGTGTGGATGTACATCTACCCATTTCACATTCCACATGCCTCCCCCTCTAAACACACACACACACACATGCACACATGCTCACGCGCACGCACACACATGTCCATCATTTCGCCCTGCCATTCTTAACCGTTGATGCCAGGTTGGGTATGGGTCTTGTTCCGCTGGCCAATGGCAGATGGGTGGTGCTGAATCAGGTGCGTCACAACAGCACAACGGTCGTTGCATCTTGCATCTTGACTGCCTTTGATGGTTCAATTCAGATTCAGGGCACTCATCCACCGAGTCACGCCTCTGTCACGAGAAGTGTCATCTCTCCTCATCCGTTCTCACAACGTGCACGACCGTCTGTTGTGTACTCGTTCCTTCTGTGTCTTGTCCAACACCGCAGGCTGCCGCAGCGGCGGTTCGCATCAGTCCACAAAGCTGACTGGCGGTGATTATGGAAGCGACTATGACGTGACTGCCACATCCACCGTCAAGTTTGCGGAAGGGAAATATCGCTTTTTCTGTAGGTGACCTTCTGGCGATGTCGTGGAAGCGGGGAAAAGATGCGATGACACGCGCCGGCTCATACGTATGACATTGTGTTTTCGTGCTCACCAAGCATTGCGAACAAACCTTGGTGTGCTGCGCCCGTCATATCACACACCTTCACACAGGTCAAGCAGACGATTGCTGCAAGATTCGTCTTCGTGGTCCGAGGACATTCTCCCCCATCGATGTACGTGCATGCACGCATGCGTGTGTGATGTGTGTATGTCTGTATGTCTGTGTGCAATGGAGAGTGTGACTCTTTGCCTTTCCTGGTGTCCACATCTAACACCCATCACAACGTGCGTTGTGCAGAACGGATGTGGAGGCTGTACATCGTGCAGTGGACACACGCACGACCACGACCTCCTCGCGGGCGTGTACACCGTGGAATACTACATGCACGAGTTCGGTGAGTAGGTCGGCGCTATGGCCATAATATCGAAAAGAACACAACAACCTCAGGAATTCATGTTTCGCACGTGTTACATACGGCTGAGAACTGTTTTCCATGCTGACTCCATGTTGATTCTCAACATCTCCAACACGCACGCACGCTGTCACATCCGGTCGAACGATTCCACTGCCAGTTCTATCCCTTTGCGCATTCTCACAACTGCCCCCCCCCTTGCGACTCTATCGACGATTGGGTCCATATGAATGCATGTTACTTCCCTCCAGGTGGTGGTGCGTACTACGACTTCCACATCCAGCGGCTGTGAGAGGCTCTCACCAGTGTGCAGTGTGCAGTGTGAATGGTAATGAACGGCACTGCCCACGATGGTTTGGTGGCTTCTGCCCTTGGAAGTTTGCTCTCTGTCTCTCTCTCTGTCTCTCTCTGTCTCTCTCTGTCTCGCTGTCTCTCTGTCTCTCTGTGTCGATTCGGTCATTTGCAGTGATGATTTCAGCTCAGTTGGCTTGTGACCTTGCAACTTCTCTTGTCCGCGCAAAGTGTTCCTTCCCCCTCCTCCTTTCCACCCGACCGCGCCGTGCATCACATTCTGATTCGCTGCACAGTACAACTTCCTTCTTTTTATCTCTTGCTTGCGTGCTGTTGAATCGCAGCTTCACTTGCATCTTCATCGCGCGTGATGTGACATGACAGTGACATACCGCTTTGTTGACACAGCCCGTTCGTTTGTATGTACTGCCGTTAAAGCACATTGGCATGTCGCAGACGCAGGCAAGCAAAGAATGGAAACAGAACGTGCGTCACGGGAATGAGGGGATGTAGAATTGCACAGACAGAGAGAGAGAGAGAGACAGAGTCAGAGAGAGAGACAGAGAGAGAGACAGAGAGTCGGTGAGTCAGTGAGTCAGTGAGACAGAGAGACGCACGCACGCAGACTCGATCACTCACTCACTCACCCACACATCCATCACCACCTCCTGCTGTGCACCTCACATCTCTCCTTCCCCTGCATGAGGACGTGCGCCATCTCTGCTGGTGTGCGGCCAGTCATCACGACGTCTGGCCACCGCCACGCCTTGTCTTCCGTCGTGCACTCCCGCAGCACCAGTGATCCAACATGCGGGAGGTCGTCCACGCTGTCAAAGGTGCACCGCGACAGGATGAGCCGCTGCACGTGCTCGATGCACCCCTCGAACGCCTCGATGCTGCAGCGCTGCAACCGGCAGTGTGCAACGTCATGCACGCCCGTCACTGCAAGCTGCTTGCGCGCACGAGTCATGGTGTTGCTTCCAGCGCCACTTCCATCCACTGTTGCGTCGCGTGGTAATGTCAGTGCTGCTGCATCGATGAGCAGCGACTCGATGCGTGACACCGAGACGGATCCTGAGCACGAGGAGAGGATGAGATGATCACAGCGAGAGAGCTCACCGGCAAGGTCGCACTCACTCACACGCAGCAACTTGCGCCCAGACAACAGATGCAGATCTTGCACTGGCCGGTGTGGGTGACGGCCAGGCAAGACCAAGCTCGGCGCACTGCTCATCCAAGCGCCGCGGTAGCCATCAATCCCGTCCAGGTCCACCTCCAAAGCATCAACGCACGTCGGCACGGGCCCGTCAACACACACGCTCATCAGCTGCACGTGGACATTGTCAGGGATGTCCTGCAGATCAGCCATGTGCGCAACTGTCGTGCCACGAAGCACGAGGCTGTCGACGCGCCGGCCTAGGTCTGCGAGCTGCTCCCGTGTCAACGGCGTCTTCAGGTTGAGGTCCACCTGTTGTGCGTGCTCAAACTCAGGGATGACTGGCATTGTGTGTGCGAGATCCTCAATGACGAGCGTGTTAATGCGGGGCGGGCACGTGACCTGCTTCACACCGGAGGTGGACACCAGCTCAATGTGGGTGGCGTTGGGGAGGTGCAGCACATCTGGCGTCGTTTCGGGGTGGCCCAGCTTGACGTGGGCAGCCTGCAGCGTGCCACATCTGAGCGCAACGCGCGAGAGATCAAGCTGCTGTGCTGTTGCGAGCGCCTGCTGCTCATTGACATACCGCCCTCCACTCAGACACAAGGTCTTGACGCCTGCCAGTGACGCAAGGTCCAGAGGCTGAAGACAGTTGTACGACGACAAGGTGATGGCGGGGATGCTTGCAAGCAAGCTGATGTCATCGACCGATGCTGCATTGCTAAGGACAAGCCGCTCCACGACACGAAGCTTGCCGTGGATGCTGCGTTGCGTCTTGTGGGTCTTCCACCTGACGTGGGCCACATTCGCAAACGAGACTTGGTCAACGGCAGCCTTGAGCGTGGAGACAACCAGCTTGTTCACATCCCGTGCGGCCAGCAAAGACAGGCCAGCGATCACGGTGAGGTCCACACAGCTGCCCTGCGCACCAGCCAGGGCCGTGTCGCGCAACTCACTCCACTGATCCGCCTCCTGTTGATTGTGCAGTGTCGCCGCCAGCGAGAACACTGCCGGCCTTCGTGGCCGCCGCTGGTGCTGCTGATCCTGCTGCTGCTCTTGCTGGTGTGGTTCCAGTGGAACTGCGTTCATATCGCGAGTGTCCTCCATCCCCTCCGCTGCTTGCCCCTCCTCCACTGCCACCTCGTCCATCTGCTCATCGTGCGTTGCAGCAGCCCATGCGTCCAGGGCGGACAGCTCCGTGAAATGCACGCGTCCGCACCGAGCAAACGTCGACCAGAAGCCTCCTGCCGTGCGCTGAGTTGCCACCAGCTTGGCCTGCAGGAAGGCGCATCGACTGTCCCACGTGACGCCAAGCCAGGCGTACGCGAGGAAGCGGTTCTCCAGCCACACCTCGCGGGCAGGGGTGGTGGCGGCGGCGGTGGTGTCCTTGGTATCGGATGTTGGTGTGGCTGAGGTGCCGGCTGACGTGTCCTCCTCCTCGTCCTCGTCCTCCTCTTCCTCCACGCGGACAAGGGCTGGCTGGGACGTGTCCATCCAGTCTACGATGAGCATGCGCTGGCGTGCGGCCCGTGAGATGTACCCGCTGTACGCATCCACCGTCAGCAGCACGTCTGACAGGCACCACTTGGGCATCGCCCACGGCAGGTCGAGGTACAGCTCGCGGCAGGTCATCATCAGGTTGCAAAACGCCCGGACGCCGTCACGCCGCGCACTCCGCATCTCAGCCATGCTGAGGCAGGAAGCAAGGATCTTCTCCTCCTCTGACCTCTGAGTCACGAGGAGCTGTTCCGCAATGAGCGCCCACACGCTCGCATTTGCCGTGAGCTGGGGTGGTACTGCAGCGCACTCGCACTCACACTCATGGCGGGTGCTCATGGCCATGGCGTCGTGTGTTGGAGAGCTGGCGTTCTTGTGTTGCGTGTGTTTGTTGTGTGTTGTGCTTGTTGTGTGTGTGTGTTTTGCACAGGGGAATTGTGCGCTTGTTGTGGCTTGGGCTGCTGTTGCGCTTGGCTGCTTGGTAGGCGTCCGCTTCCTTCTTTGGTTTTCATCATTGGCAAAGGTTTGCGTGTTCTCTTGTTCCGTGCTTTGCCCCGACACTGCCATCGTTGCGCAAAGTCATCCGAACTGCATCGAATGGGAAGTCCTCCCATAATTTGCTCTCGCCGCAACCGCGCATCGAATCCAATACATGACAAAAAATAATAATAAAAAATAAACCACAAACCACAACACCGGTTACAACGATGGGAGTGCCGCGCTTGTTTCGGCTGCTTGTGGAGCGCTATCCACTGATACTGCGAGGGCTGGACGAGCCACCGCCGCCAGAGTTTGACAACCTGTACCTGGACTTCAACGGGATTGTGCACACATGCACCCACGGCAATGAGCTTGCTGCAACGCGATCCCAGCAGGAGATGATGATGGCCATCTTCTCCGCCATCGAGCAGCTGGTGGACGCCATCAAGCCCAGAAAGGTCCTGTTCATCGCCATCGATGGCGTGGTACGTACCCAACACCCAGATCCACGCCCATGTTGTCACATACGCACCACACCCACGTGCAACAGACGGGCACTGCATGCCTGCGAAGATGGGGTTGTGGGTTGTGTTTGAGAAGAGCATCAGGGCTGTGTTGCGCGTGATGTCTGCTGACAAGAAATGCAACACAAGATGGGCTGTGTGTCGTGTGTTGCTGAGCGTGTCATGTTTTGTTGACTGTGTGCCATGCATTGTGGACTGTGCACGATGCAGGCACCGCGAGCAAAGATGATCCAGCAGCGCCAACGCCGCTTCAAAGCCGCAAGGGTTTGTGCAACAGCACTGCGACTGCATTCGTTTGTGCCACACACACACACACACACACACACACACTCACTCACACACACACACACTCACACACACACACACACACACTCTCTCTCTCTCTCACACACACAATCAACAGGCACGGAAGCAGTTCCAGCAAGACAACCCTGAGCATGGCGATGCGTTTGACTCCAACTGCATCACCCCTGGCACAGAGTTCATGGCGACCTTGGAGGAGTACCTCATCTACTTCATCCAGCGCAAGGTCTGACATTGTGTGGCATGTTTTTGTCTGTCCCCTAACCCCGTGACCTGCTCTGCTCTGCTGGCAAAAGTGTTCGTCCACACTCCTCCTGCGCCATTGCCATTGCATTTGTTTCCTTGCCGCCCTTTTTGACTCTACACACACACACACACACACACACACACACGCGCACACACACACACGCGCACACACACACGCGCACACACACACACAGGTCGAAGAAGACGCAGCGTGGAGGGATCTCGAAGGTGAGCCAAGTCGTTGGTTTAGCCCCCAACGTAGCTGCATCACATATGCGCGCGACAGTACCTGTATGTAACCTGCTTGTCACATGCTGCACCTTGCCAGCGATATTGTATGTCTCATGCGTTGCGTTTTGCCTGCGACGTGCAGTTGTGTTGAGCGGCCACCGCGTTCCCGGCGAGGGCGAGCACAAGATCATGGACTTCGTGCGCCGGCTCAAGAGTCAGGAGAGCTACGACCCGAACACGCGTCACTGCATCCACGGGTACACCGCTGCTGCGCGCGCACCGAACTGCTCTTCTCTTTGCGTCGAGTCGTTCGTCCCCACGCCCGTCGCCATTCCCATTGCCACTCACACGCAACTCACATCCCACAAACAAACAAACGCACACATACGCACACGCACACACACACAAACGCACCACACCCAACACCCAACACACACACAACACAACATAACACAACACACACACACACAACACAACATAACACAACACACAAAACAACACACACACAACACAACATAACACAACCAAACACAACACAACATGCACACACACAAAACAACATACACATGTGCGTGACAGGCTCGATGCAGACTTGATCATGCTGGCGCTGGCAACACACGAGCCGCACTTTTGCATCGTGAGGGAGAAGGTGTTGGTCCGAAAGCGCGGACGCAAGGTCAGCAAACACACACACACACACACACACACACACACACACACACGCACGCATTTGTTCTTGTATGGGTTGCGGTAGCCCTTTCGTCTTTCCTCACACATCTTCGTGCTCAACAAACACAAACACTCACTCGCCCACACAACCACACATGTACGCGGTGGTAGATTGTCAATGACCTGACCAGCAAGGCGACCGTGTTCCAGCACACGCAAGGTGGTGTACAATACGCACACGGCACACGCTTGTTTGACCACCTGTCATTGCACTCGCTTCATCGTCTTTGTTTACTTCCCACAAGGCTATAGTCTTACCCCAACGCACAACACACACACACACACACACACACACACACACACACACACACACACACACACCACAGAGCTGCAGCTGATCCACATTGGTCTGCTTCGTGAATACCTCCATCTGGAGTTGAGTTTGCGGAACATTGGTCCGGACTTCCGCCAGGGCCTCGTCTCCTCCGCCGCTGCGCTCCGTGACGGTACACGCTTGTCGTGCGCGTATGAGTGCATGTGCGTGCGTGTGCGTGCGTGTGCGTGCGTGTGCGTGCGTGTGCGTGCGTGTACATGTGGCAGATGTGTGCCTGTATAAACCACTTGCAATTCAGTTGCTTGTCTCAACCTCCATATCACACACACGCACACACGTGCATGTGTCCGTGCAGCGATGGTTGATGCAAAGTTTCGGCAGCTGCCGGAGGAGATGCAGGCGCTGCGCACATCTGTTGTGCAATCGCGAAACGTCGAGCGTCTCATTGATGATTTCGTGTTTCTCACGTTTTTGCTGGGCAACGACTTTCTCCCCCACTTGGGTGCGTGTCGTGCGATGGTGTCAAGCATGCACATGTTTGCACACGTGCTGGTGTGCTTGGTGCTTTGAATGCGCGTGTTCACGCGTTGGTACGCACAATGGTTCCTGCCCATGTCATCGTGGCTGCTTTGAGCTTCGTCTTCCAACACCACCACCGATCCTAATACCACTCACGCTGCTACTCTGCAGTTTGCGCTGATCTGGACGATGACGGGCTGGACGCAATCTTCAGCGCGTATCGTGAGGCAATTACTCGCGAGGACCTCAAGACACAGTACCTTGGTTCGTTCGAGCTGTCTGTTGCTGTTGTATGTCACCTGTCACACCTCGGACACATGAGCACATATGAACACATGACCACACACACACGCACGCACACACACACACATGACCACACACACATGAACACACACACATGAACACACACACACACGCACACACACACACACACACACACACACACGCACACACACACACACACGTTGCCACTCATGCATGCCCGATTGTGCTGCGTGTTTGTCTATTGGACAGTGGATGCGGAGAAGGCGACGGTGAATCTTGCCTTTCTTCGCGCCGTCTTTGAAGTGTTTTCACGCACCGAAGAGCAAGGCTACAAGCAAGAAGCCCAAACAGAAAAGTGTAAGTGCGCATGTGCTCCGTGAACAGTGATGCTGTGTGTTTGTGTGCGCATGTGAGAATGGAGCGTGTGCTTGGAACCACACGCGTTCAGGCCAGTCACAAGGCACCACCACCACAACCAACACGTCTCTGGTTCCCACTGCAGCGAAATCGACCAAATCCAAACGTGGTGGCGCATCGCCTGCAAAGCCGTCAGCTGCAGCAGAGCAGCGGGCCAGCGAGCAAACTCAGCAGCCGGAGAGGAAGAAGGCCGCAGGCGCCTCACATCACACACATCAACCAGCAGAGAAGAAGAAACAGCAGCAGCAGCAGCAGCCAACGAAACAAGAAGATGAAGAAGGAAAGAAGAAGAACAAGAAAGAAGAAGAGGAGGAGGCGCCGCTGTCCACGCCCGAATCCGCAGCGCTGAATAGCCTCCTCCAACGCGCCACCAACCAGGCTGCTCCGTCAACCACATCCTCCTCTGCCCCTTCCAATGCACCTCAACAGCAACAGCAACAGCGGCAGCAGCAGCAGCCTGTTGATGTGCCCATGGCTGCGTTCAACCCCGCCAACGTGTTTGAGCAGATGGCGAGCGGCACGGGCGTGAATCCGTTCGCGCCAGCAGAGGACGACGCTGCCTTTGACCCTGCGGTGTCTTTTCAGCCATACAGCTTCCTGGAGGAGGAAGCTTATGGTTCACAGGACGTGCCATACTTCATGAGCCACTCACCCATGCAGCAGCGCCCACCACGCCCACCACCACCAAGCGCGTTTTACGGCCACCCGCGCCCGCCCGTCCACCACCCCATGCACATGCACATGCACATGCAAATGCCGATGCACATGCGGATGGGAGCGCCACCGCCACGCCCCCACGCGCCGTGGCAACGGATGCCGCCGCCAGGGGTCGCGTATGCGTCCCCGTATGGCCCTGCGCGGCCACCTGCTCCCCATGTGCCCGGTATGCCGTTTGCGTACAGACCCCCAGCCCCACCACCACAGCAGCAACAGGCACAGCAACAGGCACAGCAGCAGCAGCAGCAGCAGCACGCCCCTGTGTCTGGCCGGCTTGGCGAGTTGCTGCAAGCTGCATCGTCCAAGCAGGCAAAGCACCAGCAGAAGAAGAGCAAGGGCAAGAAGGGTGCCAGGAAGGACAATCAGGACGACACGAGCGAGCCCTTGAGTATTGCCGAGCTGGAGGGTGGGCTGGACGCAGCCATTGCAACAGACCCTGCGCTTGCACCAGCAGCGCCAGCAGCGCAGACATCGGCAGCTTCTGGTGGTGGCGGCGGTGGCGGTACACTGGCAGCCTTGTTGAGCGGGAAGAGCCCATCAAAGTCACAGTCAACGTCGCAGCCAAAGCCAAAGCCAAGAGTAGCCGCGCCACCAACATCGGCAGCACCGGCAACCACGTCTGATAAGGTGCCGCAGCCGTCAAAGAAGACAGGTGCTTGGGGCACTCCCACCACCGCCACCGCTACCACCACCTCTGCCTCCAAGACAGCGGGGACGGCTGGCGTGTCGGTCGGCAAGAGGGCGCCTGCGCTGCGGCGAACGGCAAAGGGCATCGTCGTTTCCGGTGGAGGCGGTAACAAGGCAGCAGCGGACAAGAACACCACCACCAAGGACAAGAACACGAAGGCCAAGGCAACAACAGCATCATCATCATCGTCGTCTTCGTCTGGCAAGCAGCAGACGGGCAGTGAGAAGAAGCAGAAGAAAACGACGAAGACGGCAGAAGAAGGTGGTGAAGCCACGAAAGCCGGGCAGGGCAACAACGAAGCAGACAAGGAGGCCGTCGTTGAGGAAGAAGAAGAGGAAGAGGAAGAGGAAGAGGAAGAGGAAGAGGAAGAGCCTACAACGCGATGGGTTGTTGGTGTTGGTGACATCTCCACCGTGGACGACTACTACCGCGTAAGCTCAAGAAGGAAGGAGGGAGGGGGCGAGAGGAAGTTTGTGTGCGTGTGTGCGTGTTTGTGCGTGTGTGCGTGTTTGTGTGTGTGTGTGTGTGTGTGTGTGTGTGTGTGTGTGTGTGTGTGTGTGTGTGTTTGTGCTCTATGTGTGTCTGTGGGGTTGTGCTTTATGTGTGTGTGTGTGTGTGGGGTTGTGCTTTATGTGTGTGTGTGTGCACTCACGTTACAACACAACACGCGTGCACGTGCGTGTTGCAGGTCAAGTTTGAGGACGTGGAGGGCCACCCCGTTGATCGCGTGGTGCTCGTCAAGGAATATCTCGAAGGATTGCTGTACGTGAATGGTGAAGGGGATGCTTCTGGTGGTGTTTTTGCACGTGTTCGTTCGGGAGGAGGGCATTTGCGCATTGCTGCCGTGACAGCACACACGCAATCACACGATCACACTGTTACTCGCACACATATACACACTCTCTCACCCACCCACCTTCACCCTCACTCATGCACACACACACACACATAATCTCTCACTCTCTCACACACTCTCACTCGTGTCCTTCTACAGGTGGACCCTCAACTACTACTACCAAGGCGTTGCGTCCTGGTCGTGGTTCTATCCGCACTACGCCGCTCCGCTGCCCACAGACGTCCTCGCCGCGTGCGATGTTCTCCCCTCCATCGCATTTGACGCAGAGACAACACCGCTCCTTCCCTTCCAGCAGGTGGGGGACGAATAGCGTGCTGCCTGTTGTCCTCCGTCCTCTCTTTCCCTCGTTTGCTTCCTTGGGCTATTTGGTGTGCGTGCGTGCGTGTGTTGTGTGTGTGTGCGTGTGTGTTGTGTGTGCGTGTGTGCGTGTGTGCGTGTGGTGTGTGTGTGCGTGTGTGTGCAACACAGGCTGCGCGTATCGCTTCCCCCTCCTTTGCCTCGCCATCACCTCATCAATCAACACCATCGTCAATCAACACTGCCATCACCATCATCGTCATCTTCACGGTCACCAGCTTCTGACGGTTCTTCCTGCGGAGAGTTCGCAGCTGCTGCCGCCCTCGCTTCGCCCGCTCCCGCTCGACCAATTGAAGGAGTTTTATCCATCAGGTGGGGAAGTGGCTTGAGGTGGGACGGCATGAGAGTATCGGCCGTCTTGTGTTTTGTGTCGAGAGCATGCGCGCACGTTTGTTATCCCTATCACACCCAGGTGCATACGTAGTCACTCAGGCACATACGAAGTCCCTCAGGCACACGCTATCCCTTCGCACCCCCCCCCCCCCCACCCACACACACTCACACACACTCACTCACTCACGCACAATCCCTTCACACACACACATGCACGCTTGGCCGTGCCTGCTGCAGAGTACCCGTGTGTTCCGGACGTGCGCGGGCGCGAGTGGCGGGACATTGTTGTCATCCCCGTCATTGACGGCGAAAAACTCCACTCCGCATACACGCGTGCCATTGCTGCTGCGCCACTCTCTGACGAAGGTGTGCCTGGCTGGAGACAGTATGGCGAAAGTCATGCGAGTGACAGCGCATGAACGCGCAGACGCATGCATGTGTGAGCATGCGCACATGCACCACACACACACACTCACACACACACGTGTGTGAAGCGCATGTATCCACTGTGCACCTTGGTGTGGCCATCATGCACACTCACTGCCATTCGCTGGGGATCTTTCCCCTTGCTCTGCTCTGCGTCGTCTTCCACGTGCACATGTGTTCAGAAACTGCGCGCAATTCGCACGCGCCAGCGACCCGCTTCACCTTTGACAGCTCTGCCGCGCACATGAACAAGCCGCCACCCGGTGCTGGTGCGTTGTTGGACGCACCCATTATGTGGCATGCACAGTGTTTTGTTACGGATTGAACCCGTTGGCATGCGCTCACTTGTGCTGCTATTTTCTCCTCTGACACACACACACACACACACCCATACATATCCATTTCAACAGAGATGCTTCGTGCTCACACCACACGCTGTTCGTCGGCTCCACTCGAGCTCGGGTGAGCGGCAGTGTATGTATGTGCACGTGGGTTGACGCGGGGCGTGGAGATTGCACGAATCACACATGCACACACATCAGATGTTCATACAAAACACACACACACACACACACACACACACACACACACACACACACACACACACACACACACACACACACACACACAGGCCGCTGCCCGAGGGCCGGTTCAAGCCTGTTGTGCTGCCAAAGTGCAACACGGGCCCGTTTGCGCCTCCACCAGCGTTCCCAACTCTCAAATTCCTCCGCTTCACCGCAGTGAGTCCACTTTGCTGCACGTCTTTGTTTGACAGTGCGACATGTCGTTTCGCCAAACACACGCGCCCACGCGTTCATATGCATGGGCATGCAAACGCGCCCCCCCCCCAACTCACCCCAACACCGCATAATTGACACTCATCCATCAACCAATCATCAACCTCATACACACATCACCAACCACCATATCATACTTGCCTCCATTGCGCTGCAGACACTGGATGACATTGGCGTGCGTGTGCTTGGCCCCCGCAGCCGGCTGCCGTCGCTGTGCATCCGCCTTGAGGACGGGCTCCAGCCGCCATCCGCCCGCCCCTCCGCCGAGGAGCAGCGTGCTACGGTCCGTGTGGGCACGCACACCTGTGTGTGTGTGTGCGTGTGTGTGTGCGTGTGTGTGCGTGTGTGCGTGTGTGTACGCGTTTGTGCGTATATCAGGGTCTTGTGCGTCTTTCACTCCCACGTGTTCAGTCCCAGGCCTTGCTTACCATCGTCTCACGTTACCACCACCGCTGGCTCGTGCTGTTCAGGCCAAGGCGGCAAATGACCCGGAGAACTTTGATCTGTATGTGGAGGACATCAAGCGTGCACGCATTGCGCAGACGATTCGACTTTTGCTGAACAAGACATACACTGTCGACTACCCGTTCCCATGCGTTGGCAAGGTGCAGGCTGCTCATGGTTGTGGCAGCGGGCGTGGGGAAGACAGCGGTTAGGGTGGCTGTGGTGGTGGGTGTGGTTGTGGTGGTGGTTGTGGTTTTGCGAAAGCGTACTCGTGTCACCAACAATGCCGGTGTGGAGGCGGTGGACCGTCGCACACACACACATACATGCACACACGCCTTGGCTGATGTCGTGCCGCTGAATGTGCGTTGTGCTGCTGCAGGTTGTGTCGGCGTACGATGAGGAAGGCCACCATCGCTTCCACCGCGGACAGGTGAGCAGTTCCAGTGTTGGTCATTTTGGTCGCGTGTTTTGCTTTGCCTGTGTTGGTGTTCCTGCTTGTGCATGTACGTGTTTGTGCATGTGTGTGTTATGCTTGTGCTTGATACACTTGCCTGTACTCAAACAAGCAACCTTGGGTGTTGGCGCAGGTGAAAGTGCAAGCCGATGCAACGTGGGAAGAAAAGCGGACAACGGTGCGCAACGAGTACCTGACAAAGCGTGGCGTCGACGTTGGCGACATCGAGCTGCTCTTGGAGGTGCGATGTATTCTGTGCACACGTCGCTGTAACCCTGCTTTGCTGTGGCTCAAAGCACGTGTTTTCTGTGCCGGAGCCGCACGACGCGAGTGGTTGTGTGCGTGTTCATGTACTTTGACATTCATGTGTGTCCACGGGTTTGTGTTTGCACTGCCCTCGGACCCTGCTTTATCTGAGACCGCAAGCATGTACTTTGCTCGTATTGATTGCATCAGGTTGCTCCGCTTCGTGGTGTTGTCCAAACAACGTCGTACAACGTTGTCGAGGACTTTGACATGCAGAACACCGTTCTTGTTCCAGCGCAGGTGTGTGTGTGTGTGCGTGTGTATGTTTGCGCATGTGCAAGCCCGCAGTCCCTCCATGTTGCCACCTTGACCTCTCGTGGCGTTGGCAGCGCTCACGCCATGATGTGCGTACACCTGTCTGAACAGGCAATTCCGTCCACAAAGCCGCGCGCCGACAAACGGTACAGAGCACACCACCTGCAGTGTGAAGGTGCACACCTTGCCGTGCAGAACATTTCCCTTTCATTGCAATCGCTCCCTTTGCGCGTCGTCTCATCCGCACACACACACACACACGCACGCACGCACGCATACACACACACACGCACACACACACACACACACACACACACACACACACACACACACACACACACACACACACGCACGCACGCACACACACACACACACACACACACACACACACACACACACACACACACGCACACACACACACACACATACCCACTCACACACACAAGGTTTGAGACCCGCCAGCGCGACCGCTCCAAGCCGCTGCTTGAGAAGGGAGATGCGTGTGTGTGCCTGCTTGAGGACAATTTCGGTGTGACGGCCCGCGTGACCGGAACAACGGTGAGCAAGGAGCTTTTGCGCTGTTGTTACATGCAATCGGTTGTGTGTCGTCTCGTCATTGTTCGGTAGGCTTGCCTCCCCTCCCCAAAAAAAAAATGTGCTGCTCAGACATACGCGCACGAACTACATATTCACAACACATGTGGATGAACAGTCGAAGCATGAGCAGCTGCTTTATGTGATCAAGTCGATCCCTTCGCCCCCGGACGAATTTGAGAGGTGGGAAATGAACAGCGAACAAGCACTCGCTTTCGTCTCCTATGCAGCTGTTTTCGTGTGCACATGTTGCGGTTTACTCTGCACCTCTCACCTCAAGCCCCTCCTGTTTCCTTCATTTCAATCACCACCACCACCACTGCTGTTGTCGTCGCCAGCGCCGCTGCGTTTGCAGCCAAACGCCTCGCAGCCCAAGAGGAGGTAAGTCGTGTGCGCATGTGCGAATGTGATTGTGCGTGTGTGTGTGTGTGCGGGTGAATGTGCGTGTGCGTGTGCGAATGTGCGCGTACGTGTGCGTGTGTACATGTGCCCGTGGAATTCCGCATGAGAAGTGCGTCATGGTGGCATTGTCTGACGAGCAGCGACGTACATATTCAGGAGTTCATGGACGAACCGAAAGCGGCGCGGGCTGTGGGCATCAAGACCATCACGTTCTCAAGGTACGAAGGAGACGCATTATTGTCGTATTTGCGCTGAGTGCATTGTACACGTTTCGACATCAACACATACACAGACACACACACACATAGACTGACAGGCAGGCAGACACACAGACACACACACACACACACACACACACATATAGAGACACACACACAGACACACACACACACACACACACGTGAGCACGAACACATGGTTGAACGTGCACGCTGCGCACTCGTCCCCTTACTTTCTCCCGTCGGTTCGCAACATGGCTGTGCTCACACTGTCGTGCTGGTTGTGATCACAGACTTGCCAGCTGCATCTCCGTGCGCTTGCCGGATGGGCAGCGAGCTGATATTGGTGAGACCAGCACAAGTCACAACTCTCTAAGTTGCACGTGCTTGCTCATGTTACATGTTCTAAAATACCATGCCACTCAACCTACACAACCGTCTCTCGCCCAATGCACACGCACACACACACACACACACACACACACACACACACACACACACACACACACGCACGCACGCACGCACGCACTCTCTCTGTCTCCACGTGTTGACATATGTGCTTGCGCTCAGGGCTGGGCATCAAGTTCTCGCGTCGTCAGCTGTACATGGCAGGATACTCCCGCGCAGTGCCAGGTGCAGCCATGGCGGCAAATGTGTTCGAGGCGGAGGGTGGATGGCTCCTGGCACGTGGTGTACGGTGGACACCACCTTATGTGGAGTGAACAGTATCTCATTGAGCGTTCACACACACACACACACACACATACACACACACACACAGACAAGCGCCGTGGGAACGGTGCGGTGCGCTGGCAGTACACACAAGCGGCGGTGTCGCTGATGCAAGAACTGAAGACGAAGTTTTCGGCGCTGATGGCTGTCATTGATTCAGATCCCAAGCAGGACCTCTTTGACCTCAAGCAGCTGCTCAGGCACGACAGCGACGTTGAATCTACTGCTGACCAGGTGACATGTCGCAGTGGTGCTGGGAGTGTACATTTGTGTGTAGAAATGTGTGTGTATATGTGTGTGTATGTATGTATGTGTGCATGCATGTGTGTGAGAGGGTATTTACTCAGTTCAATAGTTCATGCAAGGTGCGACTTGCCTCGCTCAAGCCAAGCGCAGTTCTTCACCCAACCTCCACCACTTCAATTCCTTGCATTTCCATTCACATGCACCACCACCCGTCTCCTCTCCTTGTGCCCCCCCCCAACGACGGCCTCAGCTGCTTGCCTTCCTCGCTGATCTTCCAACGGCGCAGCAGCCGCTCACGTCCTGCGACAGCCGCGCAATGCCGCCCCACGCCATTGCCCAGCTCGAACAAGCCATAGACGACGCTCGCAGCGCACACAAGGTGCACGCATGTCTTCACAACCATGTGTGGTTGTTTGTGATTGTGTGGTTATGTGAGCGTGAGCTTGTGTGTGTGTGCTTGTGTGCGCGCGCGTGTGGGTGTGCGTGCGTGTGGGTGTGCGCGCGTGTGCGTGTGTTTGTGTGTGTGTGCGTGTGGTTGACAGTCTCCATGACATGATTTCACCACGTATCCATGCATGCGCGTGTTGACATGAATACACACCATCAATAGGATTTGCTGACGGAGACGCTGCGTGTTGCGGAGTTTGGTCTTCGCCCGGCGGTGCGCCTGCCCACCGCACATCGCGACCACGTAAGAGCGCTATTCGCTTGCAACTGCTGCTGCTGCTGCTGCTGCTGCTGCTATTGTTGTTGTTGGCGGTGTTCTTGCTGGATGTGCTCTAGAGTCTGATGTCACACACACATGCACATACATACACAAACATGCACACACATATACACGCGTGCGCAACTGTGCTGGCCAGGCTTCGTTTGGGATTGGCCACCGCGTGGTGTGCATCTGCGACAGCGGCCCCGTTCCGTTTGGGCTGACGGGCACCGCTGTTGGCGTTGAGGCGCGCGGGCAACGGGTGCAGGTTCTCTTTGACGAGCCCTTCCTCAGCGGCAACAACCTCGGCGGAAGGTGTGTGTGTGCATGTGCATGTGTGCGTGTTGTGTGCGTGTGTACATTTGTTTGTTTGCTTGTACGTGTGCTCGTGATCTCACTTGCTGCTCATCGGCTGACGCCATTCTCGCCACACATGCGTCGTTCGTTGTCCGACAGGTGTCGTGGCTTCCGCGGATACACGCTGCCCCACTGGTCACTGCTCAACCTCACCACCCGTGCTGGCCGTGTTGCCAAGCGATACCAGCCAAAATCAAGGTTCGAGTGAGCATGTGTGCGTGAGCGTGTGTGTGTGCGTGTACGTGTGCGTGTGCGTGTGCGTGTGCGTGTACGTGTGCGTGTGCGTGTGCGTGTGTGTGTGTGTCTGTATGGGTGTTTGGATGACGGAACACTCACTTGTGTTTGTTTCATGTGCCTGCTCCCACCACATGCCCCTTGCAGTGGCGGGAGTGGTGGCAAGCAGCGTGGGAAGAAGAAGCAGGAGCAGCAGGCCTCTGCTAGCACTTACAATCCCTTTGCTGCCCTTGCCTCATAGCTGTGCTCTGTTCCCTTTGTTCATGCATGTGTTCTTCTGTGCGTGAGTTCTTGTGTTCTTGTGGAGGAGTGTGGGTGGGTGTGTCGAATCGTTGACTTGTGCTTTGCGTTTTCGTGTGAACGTTATTATTGCTGCCCTTTGTTTTGCCGCAATTGCCTTCCCCATCTCTGAGCGCTGGGAGCAGTGTAAGATTTCAGCGAGTTTTCCCCAATAAAATTGGAAACACAACAAACAAACAAACAACAACAACAAAAACCAACGATGATGACAACCAAGACAACGCAAGAGCATCACAACGACGGCGATGACAGCAAAGGGTTGGAACGGCAGCTGTACTCAGACAGGTGAGGCTTACGTGGCGAAGGGGATTGCTCTTGCAGTGCTTCTCGTCCTGCTCCTGGCTTGTGTGCTTGTGTACTTGTGTACTTGTGTACTTGTGGCCTGTGTTCACACTCTCTCTTACGCTCCATTGATTGCTGCAGCGAGGATGGGATCATCTTGCTGCCAAATCAGACGCAATGGATGGCCAAGGTGTGCGCGTGTGTATGTGTGTGTGCGTGCGTGTGTGTGTGCATGCGTACATGTGTGTGTGTATGCGTACATGTGTGTGTGTGTGTATGCGTACATGTGTGTGTGTGCGTGCGTGCGTGTATGTGTGTGTGTGTGTGTGTGTGTGTGTGTGTGTGAGTGAACAATGGTGCAATGGGTGTGCTGCCGTAGATGCTCTCCAGACACACAATGCCTGGTCTTGCCGGCTGCCCTACCTTTGGCATGCCACAGGAGCCATTTGGATTTGAGGCAGCCATCGACGACACCCTGGGCTTCATCTACTACCTCGAGTGCGTTGGGGCAAGCAAAGGGGAAGAGGAAGGAGTGAGGGTTATTCACCCGCAGCAATGTGCTGGGGTGTGTTGTCGTCTCGTGTGGCGCAGCGACCTTGTGTTGCAGTGGCCTCGCACGAGCACTTACGTTCTTTCACACACACACACACACTCACACACACACATACACACACACATACACACACACACGCACAGCCATCTTCGATGTGAGACACATGCGCATCTAGCAGCCCGACACACGCGCCCGTCCTGGCGACACCAGCGAGGATCGATGCACCCCAGAACATCAGACGATCCCATCCGCCGCACATCGTCTTTCACCACCCAGCAGGTCTACGAGGTCGAGCTCAGTGCAAGCGAAGGCTCGTCGCTGCTCGAAAAGTCAGTCTGACGGCAACTTGCGTGTGTGTGCGTGTGTGTGTGCGTGCGTGTGTGCGTGCGTGCGTGCGTGCGTGCGTGTGCGTGCGTGCGTGCGTATGGTTGGTCACTTGTGCACGATTCGTTGTGTTGGCTGTGCTCATCGTCCATGATGTGCAGGTTTGGCTTCGACACCACCGGTGACAAACAGTGCTTTGTCAGCAACATTGTCGCAGACAGTCCGCTTGCGCGATCCAGCGTGCCGCTTGGCAGCGAGCTTGTGCAGGTGTGAAATGATGTTGCGGTTTTGTGCCTATGTCTACAAGCACATCTGTGTGTGTGGTGTGTGTGTGTGTGTACGTGTGTGTGTGCGTGTGTGTCGGTGCGTGTAGGTGTGTGTGTGTGTGTGTTTGTGTTGGCTGTGTGCGAGCGGATGCAGTGGTTTGCTTCTCTTGCCTTGGCGCTCACATCTGATGATTTGATTTGATTCATGTCATCATCAGATCAACAACACGGATGTATCACACTTTTCCAGCGCCGATATCCGCACAATGCTGCTGTACGAATAGACTGCACACGTCCTGCGCTGGCAGGCATTGCACGTAACAGCACACCCACACACCTACACACAGGTACATGTATACACGCGCCCATCTCACACGATCACAACACACACGCACGCATATACACATATGCCAGGCAATGCAGGGGAGCAACGAGCCTTTCGCTCGTCAGCCGATCCCGAACGCGAAGACGAACATTTGACAAGTCATCAAGGTCGTACCGTACACACACACACACACACACACACACACACACACACACGCTCACTCACTCGCTCAGCACGCGCATCAACATACAAGTGGTGCTCACCAACCACCCCACCCCACCCCACTGCGTGCGCTGTTTGTGCAGTCTCCGTATTTTTCTCGCTGACGGCCGCTACAAGACGCTCTTCTTCTGGCCAAACTCAACGTGCGTATGCGTATATGTGTGTGCGTTTTGTGCACTTGTATTTGCGTGCATGTGCATGTGTGGTGCGTATGCAGACATGTCATCGTGCCTTCGCTGCGACGTGACAGCCTCACGTGTAGATCGGTCCTTCCGTGTATTGTTACCGCCGTCGCCACTTCAGCGTTCGCGACATCATCGAAGAGTTGTGTGAGAAGCTCGACATTGCCTGCCAGAACTGTTTCGAGCTCATGCTGCAGGTACTTGGAAAGCAACGATGGTGATCAGTGGTGAGGGGCAGGGCTCAGAAGATGATGGGCTGCTGGTCATGTTCCAGCACAAGCGCATTGGAGAAGTACTGTCATGTAATCTCTCACTTTGTGTGTCCGCTTCACGCTTGACGTTGACGCTGGTGCTGTGTGCTTTGTGTGTGTGTGCTTTGTGTGTGTGTGCTTTGTGTGTGTGTGTGTGTGTGTGTGTGTGTGTGTGTGTGTGTGTGTGTGTGTGTGTGTCTGTGCTTTGTGTTGTGTGTGTGTATGTGTGTGTTTGTTCCCATGCGTTTTGTGTCCAGGAAAAATCTGGGGACCGCGTGGTTCTTCCCCGCTGCTTTTCCATCCAGCACCTCGCTGATCTCCTTGCCGAGCACGACTCGCTGCAGTGCGCATTTCGTTTCAGGTCTGCACGTGATTGTGGATGTGAGGCTTGGAACCGCCATCACTGCCATGCTTGCGTTTCTACACACACACACACACACTCACACACACACACACACTCACACTCACACACACACTCACTCACCCACATACGCGCGCGCACACACACACACACACACAACACACACTCTCTCTCGCCCACTCACGCACACACGTGAACGCATGCACACGTACCGGTCGTCACAGATACATCCCGAAGACACCGGACCGCCTGATGCGGCACGATGTGAAGGCGTTTGTTCTTCTCTTTGAGCAGTGCAGCCGCGATGTTGTATCTGCGCACCTCCCATTCATCGCCAACGACACCCTCCTCAGGTGTGAGACGAGAACAACACCAGTGTGCACTGCCACTTGCGTGCACACGTGTGTGCATGTTTGTGCGTGCGTGAGAGAGGGAGAGAGAGAGAGTGTGTGGGTGTGCGTGTCCAGACGACTTCATGCCAACGGCACTCTCTGTTTACATTCTGCTTGCGTGCTTGTTTGAATGTGGGTGTCCTCACTTCTTGTTTTGTTGGTGATTTGCATTTCATGGTAGATTGGGTGCGCTCAGCATCTTCCTCTGGTCCTTCTTGCAAGGAAAGCACAAGGTGGACTTGCAAGCCATCGGGTAAGTTGGCTGCTGGCTTGTGCCCTTTGCACATGTCATACCTCCTCAAGACTCTGCTATTCTCAGTCCATTGACTGGTACGCTTAAACCCATGCGCATTGGCTTGTTCCCTCACCACTTGCACACACACACACACTGGCAGGAAAAGCATTGGCTTTGAACAGTTTATACCTGCACACGTCGTTGCGAACACCCGCGGTCGTGATCTCCGCAAAGTCCTGCGCACAAACATGAAGAACGTTGAGGTACAAACGGCACCACGTCGTGAAGACATTGCTCTGCGTGTGTGAGTGTGCATGCCACTGTGTGTGAGTGAAGAAGTTCATCTGTTACGCGGTTTTCCGCCTGTTGTGTGTGTGTGTGTGTGCGTGCGTGTATGCTCATACATTTGCTTATTTCTGTGTGCTTTCTTCACGTTTCTCCACCCGGATGCAATCAGGTCGTGCTCCAGCAGTCGAAAGTGACGGAGCAGCAAGTGCCCAACACACTGCGGATGTTTTATCTCAAACTCGTCTGCAACGAGCAGTCTGTGGTGACTCACTACCACGACGCGTTTATGGTGCGACCGTGCGGGAGTGATGGTGAAATTGCACCGTGACATATGTGTCGTGATCACATTCATTCTGTCTGTCTGCTTGGCTGGCGGTCTCTCCCCGAGTTTGTGTGTGTGTGTGTGTGTGTGTGTGTGTGTGTGTGTGTGTGTGTGTGTGTGTGTGTGTGTGTGTGTGTGTGTGTGTGTGTGCGTGCGTGTGTGCATCTCACTCACTCACTCACTCACTCACTCACTCACTCATTCACTCACCCACGAACTCTTCCCTCCTTCACCCTCCACTCGTGGCCACCACACTTCCCCGTACACTCACTCATATGCGTGTGCGTGTGCGTGTGCGTCATTGTTTCTCTTCATCATCCGTGGTGAATTGGAGAGCAGATGGGCAGCAGTGGGAAAGTTGCCATCAGCTTCGAAGACGGTCTCACGTTCATGCAGCCGGAAGCAGAGGTGAAGACGAGAGCGAACGTGCCAGTGCACGTGTTTGACTTTATGTGTGTGTGTTGGGGGGGGGGGGGTTCTGTGCTGCTTCTGATGCTGACCGAAACAATTTGTCTTTTGCGCTGCTATTGTTCAGCTTGCTCATCACAGTACACACACACGCACACACACATACACACACACGCACACACGCACGCACACACACGCATACACACACGCATACACACACGCACGCACACACGCACGCACACACGCACGCACGCACGCACGCACGCACACGCACATGTACGCAGCGTCCGCTTGTGCTGGGAAAGTTGGCGGACGTGCGATCGCTGACACTCGCGCGAAACAGCTCGTCCCCCGTGTATGCCGAGCGAGAGAGCAGCCGGGGAAATGTGTTCCGAAGCGACACATCCGCACACCCGCCACTCATGCTCGCTGACCTCCACCGCTTTCGCTGCAAACACATCGGTGAGCATTGCCACATTCCAGTCTCCAATGCCGCGCAGGAGAGAAGGAATAGGGGGAGGGTTTCATGTGTGCTGACTGCAGGACTGCCAACTGACAGCAAACACACGCACGCACACACACACACACACATACACACACATACACACACAACATACACATACACACACACACACACACAAATACACACACGTGTGCGGACTGGCAGGGATGCGCAGCAGCAGTCAGAGCGGGGTGACGAGCACGGAATACGCGCTGACGATTCGATTGGATGCGGACCCGCGAGATGTGACGTTCCAGGTCATCTCCTCCGTCTCCACCATCTGTGCGCTTGTGCAGAGTATACTCGGTGCGCTCACCTTGGTGCTATTTATTTGTTTGTTTGTTTGTTTGTTTGTTTGTTTGTTTGTTTGTTTGTTTGTTTGTTTGTTTGTTTGTTTTGTTTGTGTTGCGTGATCTTAACGTGCCAACGTCTTGTGGTAATGTCGCTGGTATCACTTGTTCACGCATGTCCTCATGAGAACTGCATGGCGATGCCCAATTGCGTATGTATCCGTGTGTTTGTTTACGTGTGTGCTGGCACGTCCACAGGTTTCTACAACGCGC